GGAAAACTTGTACAGCAAAAGAAATTAAAGCACACATTAGCGGAATGGCAACACAATATTTGGAAAGCTATAGATCTAGAAGTAGTTCAAATCCATATTCCAAGCCTACATTTGTTAACATTTTTCTCAATTCCGTAGAAAAGTTTGCATGAGGGATTACATGCTCACGAAATTTCGTGAAGCGAAAGAACGATGGATTGCTTAGTTCTTCAGAATGACGAAGAACAATGCGTTGCCATTTGAGGGGACGAATTTTAGCCCAAAATTCATCACAGTCATGTCTCAGTCCCTCGACAACAATGATGCCTGGTTTACCCGCACAAAAAAATCCATTCAAATTATGCATCACTGCTGCATCCTCAATTTTTCTTCTTTTTACCGGATTGCGAATGTGATGCGAATAAATCCAAAATCGAGCCCAACTCCCGCTTTTTGCATTTACATCGTCTTTCCGATCCATTGCTTGCTTTGTGACTGATTTCTGAAACATTCATAATACTCTATTCGTTTAGTTCGCTACAGTGGTAATTACAGGATCACCAGAACCACTCAAATTGCACTTTTTTTTCGGATTTTTGATGTTAACGTGTCAATTAACAAAAGTATTTTTCAACGTTGTCTTACGGAAATCCTCACAAAAATTGACTTTTACGATATCAACCTTGTGGAAATTTGCTGCTCGATAACCACTAGTACGTAAGCTTAAAATATATCCCGTAAGTACAACTTGAATTGCATCGGATTCTAAGCTAAGAAAGATCGAACTGCCCGATTTGCATGCCCGGTTATTCATTTTTTGTGGGGCTAATATTCGTTTTATTAATTAAATGAGCTTGGGCTCAGTGTTGAGGTTAGATGAGGAAATCATTCAGATCTAAAATGCGAGCCTTTTCTTTGTTAAATACGTTTTCCCAACATTCTTCCGCAAGAATTCCTTAACTAAACAGTAAAAACACTAGAAGTAAAATTAGACACTCAGTGGTACCCGCGAAAAAAACTGCTTGGACAAATTTTGATGAGACAGCAAGCATACAGTGTTAGGTATGAAAATCCGA